GTGCTGGCTCCCGGCCCGGGTCCAGAAGGGGAGCAGCGGCCCGAGGGGGAGCCCTTGGCCCCAGACGGCAGCTCCCCGAACAGGTAGGGCGGACCGCTCCGCAGACCCAGCTCGCAGACCTTCCCAGCTCCCCCGCCCCAGGTATCCCCAGTAGCCGCCATATGCCTCTCCATTCATTCCCCAGTCCCTCCCAGAGCCCCTTTACCCCCGGTCGCCACGCTCCCAGTCCCCCTTGACACGCCCTCATCCTGCAGTCAATTTTCTCGCTCCCCCGACACCCCCTAGTTTCAACCCCCATCACCTTTACCGCCTAGGGGACCTGCCCCACCCACTGTTTCTACCTTTCCTTTAAAGCCCCTGATCCCTGCTCCACTGGCTTCCTGAGCCCCTCCCTCTAGGCCCTGCCCCTGCGTCTTCTCAAGATACCCCAAGCACGCAGCAACCTCAGTCCGGGTTCCAGAGTGTCAAGGTGCATGGGGGTGCGCGTGTGTCTTGTATGGGAAGCTCGCCAAGGCAGTGTCTTGGGGAGGGCAGCCTCTGAGCAGTCACGTCAGAGACTGTCTTTGTCCATCACCGTCAGTCGCTTGCCTGCCCTGCATGACCCCCCACTGTGCACGTGTGGGTTCAAGTCTGCATGTGGCAGTCACTGGAAGCTGCTGGGGCCACTGAAGTGGACAGGCTCTGAGGCTCAGGCCAAGATCTGTATGGCCCCTGAGGGAACCCAGGCTGCAGGACAAGAGGGACACCTTCCTGCGGAGGGCCTAGATCTTTGTGCCCCTCCTGTCTCTTCCTCCACCATCTGTGGGAAGGAGCAGCCCAGCCAGGTAGCAATATGGCGCAATTTCTGTGCCCTGCCTGACTCTGCTGCCTCCAGAATCTCTCCTCTGACATGACACTGCTGCTCTCCTGCCTGGACTGAAATAAAAGACACTGGCGGGGGGTGGTGGTGGTGGTGGTGGTGGTGGTGTGTGTGTAAAAATACAGAGATGGACACAATGTCTCCAGATTGCCCCAGTTAAAATGTACCTCAAAGGGAAGAGAAAGCCCACAAGTGGAAAGAAATGTTTTCTTCCCTCTGTCATTAACACATCCCTAGATAGATTCAGCCATGGTTCAGTCTGAAAGGCACAGTGCTTTCTTCAAGAGGGTGACACACAGGACTGGTATGTTCTCCTGCACAAGGGCTTGCCTGGAACTATGGCCTGGCCACAGAAGCCTGGGATGGAAAAGTGATAGCACAGAGCAGGGTCCTGGGGCCAGGAGAATCTCCAGAAGGGGTTGGAGGGTCACTTCCTGTCTTAGACACCTTGCCAATGGTCTGATCTGCTCGTTTCCCCTGGATACAGGAACCACTTGCCGTCTTCCAGCAACTGCCTGGGACCTCTGGCCCCTCTCTGCACTTTCTTTTAGGTTAAAGACACTTGCCGGATATAGGGACTGAGTTTAAGTCAAGAAACACAAATATTCTCCGCTGAGCCAAGTAGCTGGGGATAAACACACAGTAATATGACAGCACACACACACACACATGCACACACACAAGCACGCGCACACACACATGCACACATACACATGTGCACGCACACACACACACACATGCACACCAGTCCATTACAAATGCATTGCCTACACAAAGAAATTTCACATTGTTTTTAAAATACCTTTTCATTTTCTAGTGGTGTGAGCTGCTCTCCCACCTGTGGGTCACGTTCTTGTCCACATGGCTGTGTGTTTGTGGGTTTGGGGACATGTGGCTGTATGTAGACATTTGCCCTTTATGGGGCTTCAAGCTGGCCCTCTGTGTCTGGGGCCCTGATTGCTGGGATGGTGGCCTCTTGAGTGAGCCCTGCATCACCACTTCCCATCCCTCTGCCTGCCTGCCCTAGTGGCTTGGTTTACTGGCCACTGGGCCCAGGCACGCAACCCAGGAAGTTACTCAGCCCTGCCAGGACCATAGAACTAAAAGGGGGAGAATAAAAGCCTCCTAGGGAAGCAAGACCTGGATCTTTTAGAGCAGAGAGAAGCTATGGGAGGAGAAAACATTTTTTTTTTTTTGGAGAGATTTTCACTGTAGGGCGCGTGCGCTCGCCAGACAGACAGAGAGAGACATAGAGACAGAAAGCGAGAAATCACCCCCCAGGGGGGATGGTCACGCCGCAATCCCTTCTCCTCCATTCTCCTCTCGGGATCTTGGGCATGCACGCACACGTGCCCGGTGTGAGTTTTAAGCCACCGGGTCCGGGACACGAACCGCAGTCGACTACGTGGGAGTCCAGCGACATAGCCATTACGCTAACTGCTGGTTCCCAGGAGAAAACTTTTTTGAGACAAGTAGAATTTGACTCTTCTCATTGGGAGGGTTGAGACTAAAGCCCAGCTTGACAGCTAGGAATGTGGAAGGTTTTTAATTCTGCCACATTGAAAATGGTGAACACAGTCCATAAGAGTGAGATCAAGGGCAGCTGATTCTAGGTCCCTAGAAAGAACTGGAGGAAGGAGCTGCAGACAGTGAGACCCTAGTGGAAGCAAACCAATGGTGAGGCTAGGATTCCCACTGAATACGAGTCTGCTAAGGAAGAAGGTGGACTCATGAGGTTTGACAGACGAGGGGAAGAATGCTCCCATTCTCCTCCAATACCATGTGGAGTGCTGGCTGCTTCTTGCACGAAAGAAACTGACACTACACCTGGGGGTCTGGCTCCTGGGACAAGCCCAGTGCTCAGTAGGCTGTGGGCAGCTGGACAAGGCTTCTTGCCTCACCCTAGCTGCCCCACTCTCCTGAGCCCTGAAAGGCATGCTCTGTTATAGACAAGAAGACCCAGGCTAATGGGTCATCTTCATGCCTTCAGAACCCAACCCAGAGCAAGTGCAGTGCCGAACATATGGCAGAGGCTCACAGAAGACCTACAGAATTAAATGTCTCTCTCAGATTTTTTGCCAAAGAGCATGCGCACTTGCTGGAGAGAGACAGACAGAGAGAAGGAAAGTGAGAAATCACCCCCCAGGGGGAGAGTGACCATACCACAATCCCTTCTCTTCTATTCTCCTGGGATTTGCGTTCACACACACACACACACCTGGCATGATTTTCAAGCCAGCAGGTCAGACTCAAACCACAGTCGACCATGTGAGAATCCAAAGCCTCAACTACCACACCAAATGCTGACCCCTGAATTAAAAATCCTTTAAGGAGATGTCAGGGACCAGCAGATAGTGTGGTGGTTAAGGCACTGGACACTCCCATATGATCGACCACAGTTCAAGTCCTGGACCTGGTGACTTGCTTTCTCTCTCTCTCTCTCGTGTGTGTGTGTGTGTGTCTGGTCAAATTTAAAAAAAAAAAGAATGAATAAATAATACAATTAAAAAATAAAAAGATGTCATACCTAGTCACATCACCCAGGCCATTTATCCAGCTTCTCTTTGGCCCACAGGGATTGGTCTATAAGGGTCTTTTATCTGCCAGGATACTGGTTGCTTATGTTATTAACTTTAGGGGGTCAGCTGAAGTCTTGCTTTAGAACAACTTTGGCCTAACTCCTATTTTTCTAAATATCAAATTAATAAAAAAGTATCAGTGATTTAACATGAGATCAAAATTTTAAATTATTATTATTTATTATTATAATCTTGTTTATGTTATATTGAATCACATATATCTTTACAGTGTATTACATTTCTTTTTCCAGAAGGAATACCTTGCAGCTTAGTTAAGACAAAGACATTACTATCCACATCTTCATCATCAAATAGCTTTTCATCCTTTTTTCCAGATTATTATTATTATTATCATTATTTTTTTAAACATTCAATCACTATCTATCATTTTGCTTGTAAAAAGAATTTACCTTACATGAAATACTTCTCAGGCCAGTCCAGTTGAGAATACTATACATGTTGTCATCAACAGCTAATAAACCATTTCTGTGTCCCGCTAATGTTGAGATCAAATTTTAATGCAGCCTTTGAGTCACAAAAAAGAAATTATTTATAATTATATCTGCAGTGAGATTGTCAAGGTGTGAGAAGTTCTAAAATGGAGATATAGTGGGTCTTCAGGAAAGTCATGACATATTGCATAGAAAGATGCGTCATGACTTTCCTGACGACCCAATACTGTCTGCAGTGTCAAAAGAAGACAAAAATGCGTCATGACTTTCCCGACGACCCAGTACTGTCTGCAGTGTCAAAAGAAGACAGACTGTAAGTATAAATATACTCCTTAAAGCACATACTCTGCAGCACTGAGTGTGGGAGGGGTCAGAAAAGCAAATATGTCTTCTACACACCAGGCACCTCACATTGGTTACATCGGTTCATTTCCATACCAAATAGACCAAATCACTTTTTAAAATAGCTGGAAGGTGCATGTGTTCACCAGAGAGGGGCAAGGAGGAAGAGGGAGAAAGCACCCTTCAGTGGGCCATGGTCACGCCACAATCCCTTCTCCTGCATTCTCCACCCTTTCAGGTTTCAGGGCATTCATACACACCCCATTACCCATCATGTTTTGTTTTGTTTTGTTTTTAAAGAATTATTTAATTTTATTTGTTATTATTATTACTTAATCTGGCCAGAGAGAAAGAGAAAGGCAAAGTGAGACAGCAAGCTGCCAGGTCCAGAACATGAACCACGGCCGGCCATGTGGGAGTCCAGTGCCTCAGCCACCATGCTACCTGCCAGCCCCACCCATTGTTTTACAAGCTACTGGGCTGGAATTTGAACTACACAGACCATCAGGCTACCAGGCCAGTCCAAATCTACCCAATCGAAGCAGGGGACTTCATCATCATATCCTCAACACACAAGGGTGCCAATTCTCCAAGAATGATGTGTCCTTTCCAAGGCCCCAGAACTAAAGGGTCATGGAGCACAGAGGCTGCTGGCCCCCACCATTTTATCCTCATCACGAGGGTCATTCTCTCTCAGATTGCTGGGCCAGCCAGTCATCCTCTAAGAAGAGGGAAGGTTTGCCTGTGTGCTCCAGTTCCGCTACTTGAGCTCAGGGCTGAACTCAGGCTCTGGGTGCCATGTCTGCCTGCCTCTGAGGCTGGGACTCTGGCCCACAGCCCGTTCAGCAGTGCAGCGGGGGACTGGAGGCCAGGATTGGCTCAGCACAGACCCTGCTCTCCCGTGGAAACTGTGCAAGCTCCCTTGGGCCGGCTGAGCAGGCAGGATCAGAGGAAGGAGACCCTCCGAATCCCTCTAAGAAGCCCCCAAGGCCCTCAGGCACTCTATTCTGTGGCTGTCATTTCCTGTCCTGGGTCTGACAATCCTGTCACTGGGTGGGACTCCACTTCCACCTGCACTGGGGAGTGGGGCTGGGTCTGTGCACAGTGTGTTGTCCCGATGTGTGATTCTGGGGGAGGAATCTAGTGCTGATGCCTTTCTGGCAAGTTCCTTGGAGGGGGTGCCATCTCCCTCTCCCAACTGGGCATGCCCATGCAAGGCAAGCCTGCTTTGTTTATGGCCCATGGCCAGGCTGGTGGAAGGGCAGCAGTAACCTCCTCAAAACTTCCCCTGACTGGGACCAGCAGTTAGAGTAATGGCTATGTCGCTGGACTCCCATGTAGTCGACCACGGTTTGCGTCCCAAACCCGGTGGCTTAAACTCACACTGGGCGTGTGTGTGTGTGTGTGTGTGCCCAAGATCCCAAGAGGAGAATGGAGGAGAAGGGATTGCGGCGTGGCCATCCCCCCTAGGG